ATACTGATATAGTAAGTTTATATCTTCATATAGGCAAGTATTTACATTGAGCTCTCTCTCTCTCCTTCCATCATCTAAGCCACTGTGCAAATTGCGGACAATGTACCAATCACATTAAAATTCATTTCGCTCATTGTCCTTGTCAATGTCATATTGTGCTAGGGTGTCATAAAAATTTTTGTGGCATAATCGTCAAAACGGCCGCTACTGCGCGCTGGTCAAACAAATGAAAATAAACGAAAGCAGCAAGTCCTATGCTGGGGTATGCAATTCTATTTACTTTATAAGGATATGGGAATTATTACTATTTGTATAAGACCATCACATACAAACTAACACATCCAGTAAGAGGAGATTTATTGCTTGCGAACAATTACTATTGTGATATATGTGTGTTTGTACCTACATACGTATGTTCATATATAGATTTAAAATTTTGCCAGGATATTTTATATGGGTAGGAGGAATTCAAACCTATTACATATAGACAAAAAGATTGTTAGCTAGTTTGACGGACGTGTGCAAGTATGTACACTAGGATGGCCCAAAAAAGTAAAGTCGGAATTTTAATTCTCTCACTCCCTAGATTCTATAGCGAAACAAATATACCGCTATTTTTTATTTTGAAATAAAAAAAAATGTTTCGAGGTCGCCAAAGTTTTCCAAATACTATTTTATGTGTGTGTTAAAAAAACTTTCGTAGAAATGGTATTCTTGAAAATCGATATTTTCGAACAGAAAACTCTGGTTTTCTTCAGGAGACTTCCAATATTAATATCCAATTGTCTATTTAACCCTTTTTTAATACTAACGATTTTTTATGGGTCACTCCATTGCATTTTAAAAGGTTTTTGGTGGACCTAAAAAATATAGTTACTTCGGAAAAATTGTTAAATAAACAATTGGGTCATATTATTGGGAGTCTCCTGAATAGAAACAAAGTTTTCCGACCGAAAAATACTGATTTTCAAGAATTATATACCAGTTTTTCTCCATATAAATTGCATGGAAAACTTTGAGCGCTTTGAGCGAGCCCTAAATATTTTTTGATTTCCAAAAAAAATTGGTGTATTTTTCGGTATAGAACAATTCTAGTGGTTGAGAGCATTCAAATTCCGAATTTACCTTTCCACATGTATTTTTGAACCACCCTCATGTACATACATACGCATGCATGTGTGTTCTCGTGCATCAGCGCTGCCTAATGATAATCCCAAAGCGGGGGTTCCATTGCAAATGCATTGCTTTGTTTTCTTCGTTATTGATGTTGCAGCAGCATTTAAGTGTATTTTCTTTTATTTTTTTTTTTGTTCAAAATAAACATTTGTGTGTGGTACGTATTTTTTTCGACTTACTGTTGTGTATGTTTACTTAGTGGCTCTCTTGCAAGTGAATGTCAAAAGGCTGGCTATAATCTTGATGTGGGTAAACATTGCAATCAGAGTGAAATTTTTACACGTCGGATTGAACTGCAAAAGATAAAGAGAAAATATCTAGAAATTTTGAATAAAAAGTGGAAAATTTTTAAGAACATTTTTTAAAATTTTGTTGAACTTTATATAAAGACTTTGACTTACATATATGGTTTATATTATTCGGCAGAATGAACTATGTTTTCATAAATAATTAATGTAAACAGTTTTTCATGAAAATAATTGTGAATATTATATTAGAGCATGGAGTACACTTTCATTTGTCGCCTAGTGTATGTGACTCAATGAAGTGATTGATTTTTTACGACATTCAAAATGTTTTTCACGGTCATTTTTTCGTTAATTTTTTATAAACCTATAGCTCCTTTTACAACAAAATACAAGTTGATCGAAATTCCAAACTTCGAAGAAAATTAAGGAAATTTCATCAAACTTTCATCAACATTTTTAATCAGATTTTTTTTTACAAAAAATTTGGATATACAGTTTTACAGCCCATTCAATTTCAGTATAATAAAGTGCAAATTTTAAATTGATAAAAAATCCTGTTGACTTGTTTTTTTTTTTTAACAAAATAATTTATTGTGTGGAAGAAAATGCTCAACGCCACCTATGGGTACGGTGACCATTCGTACAGATTTTGGCAGGCCAGTACCGATTTTGAAAAAATTGTCCCGCTGAATACTTTTTCAAAGTCGGGACGTATAAGTGTTCCGATTTTTCATATTTGTACCGACCAATTCTCGAATTTAAGTGTTTCTTTATTAATTTAATAATAGTCACCAGTACTCGTAATTTTCTTTAAGGTTTTCATAATTATTTGTTAAGTTTGGTGTTTTTTTTAATAAAACGATACTAACAAATTTTGTTGACATTATAAAAAATATTCTAATTTCCTTAAAAAATTCACGGACATGAAAAATATAAGCTGTATACATACATTCTATGTATAAATTTCTGCTATAATTCTTCAAGTTTGTTTCCCTTTGATTTATTTTCAATAAAACTGTATTAAAAGAAGTGATATCGTTTATTCTAAAAACAAAATTGTACGTTCGGATTCGATACTTTAGAAAAGTCACGATTTTTGTCCATAGAAATTTGGTCACCGTACCTATGGCTATAAGCTTTTGAAATTTTGTTGAAAATTTCCCCCATTTTCTCCAAATTTGAAATTTTGACTTACATGGTTTTTGTCGTAGAATGAGCTATATTTTTATAAAAAAAATAATAATTAAAAAAAAACTCACATTTTTATAGCAAAAAAGTAAAAAAAAATATAGTAAAAAAGTTAGTATTTTTCAATTATTTTCTCAGAAACTATGCGTGTAATCAAAAAAGTACCTTTGAGGCAAAATTTTTCGGAGAATACGATGATATTTTTAATATGTATTCTTAAATTTCATATTTGTTCGCTAATTGCAAAGTCGCACGGTTTTTTAAATTTTGTAGAGCATGGGGCCGCCCATCCCAAATATATTTATATTGATCATTTCTAATATATTTATATTGATCATTTTCTAAACCCCACTTCTCCTTCTTGAAACATTTTTCAATTTTTATATTTGCATGGAATTACAAAAAAAACACAGAAAATTCTAGTAAATCGTATTTGTTTGGGATTATTTCAAACATTTTTTAATTTTTCTTCGGTTATTTTACTTTATGTACTTAATAAATGTTTTTGCGATGTAAACAAAATTTAAGGGTTTTTAATTAAAATCTTCAAAAACGATATTTGTTTTTTAAATTTTTTTTTTTTTAATTTTTTTATTGGAATTTTTTGCAAATTTTGAAGATTGAAACCTGACTTGGCAGATTTTTCACCAGAAATACCTGGCAACACTGGTAGGAGGGTTCTACGATCTGAGTGATATCACAACGGCCCTAGGTGTGCTAATGGCAGCCACATACGAGGCCATGAGAGCAGAAATGGCCTAACTCAAAATTATTATTTTTTGTACGTACCTACTTAAAATAGTCTCAAATGTAATGCATTTAAAACTAAAAGTCGCTCATTCCTGAATTTTAAGGTACAAAGCTGCATAGCGTGCAATTAAATTAACATTATAACATTAGAAACTATTTTAAGAATTTAACTATCAAAAAAAGAATTTGGGTTAGGCCACTTCTGCTCTCATGGCAACATATATGCAAATCTGGTGATCTGTAATGGATTGAATAACTCGATTTTCACCTAATGTGCCGGTGCCGTAGTCATTGTAGAGAAATTAAATTAAGGTAAAATAAGTCAAGGCGCCGAGTAAGGGAGTTATGCTGCGATGCGAAACATTAAACCTGCCTCCTTCTAGTCCAGATTCGATGGTTTTTATATTCAAAAACTAGAGAGTACTTCGAGCAAAAAACTTACTGTTGATCAGGAAGTGAAATCAGCTATTTGCTGTCCAGTTCTTCTCAGATTTGCAATACTCATTTCTAGCTAAATTCTTTCCATAATTTTATGATGTGGTTTCTTATTTTTACGGCACAAAAATGTAGTATTCAACTTCGTTTTCTGCTCAACACAAAATATGCCTCCACATTATTTTCATTTGTTCCTTCGTTCAGCTGTGACTGCAGCAAATTCGACTGTCCAACAAAAAAACACGCACACAAAAGCCAAATCGAATTCCAGGTGCAGTCAAATAAAAACGATTTACACGTTTTCCATTCAACTCCAGTGCACCGAGACGAATCGGGGTGGGAATTCTTTCAAACAATAATGCCGTTGCAATAAAATCTCAAATTACAACACTAACTTTCACGCAGGCCAGTAACGAAAGGAGGAGGAAGATGTTAGTGATGGTGGTAGTGCTGCTGGTGACGATGTTGCAAAGGTCGTACGTTGATGCTGATGATGAATTTCAACAAACATACAAGGCAAATATACATACATATGTGTTTGTGCATGCAGGATTGTATGTGTGGATCCTGCTCTGAGGGTAGTACGGGTAAACATAAGGAGCGTTACGAATTGAATTTATGCCGCTTGTTAGAACGCAATTAGCTCGAGGCAACTAGTCCTCAAAGCCAACATATATATGTACAAGCAACATACCTACATATCAGCAAGTAAAAATGCGTTCAGCCATACATACTTACATATGGATAAAGTGGTGAAAATACTATGTTTGATTTTGTTTAAATATAAAAAAAAAATGCAATGCATAAATTATTTAAGTTTTGGGGCATTGTATTGCTGGTAGTGCGTGCCCGTAGGCTATTGGTAAATATTTTCTACAAAACCGTTCATAAGTAAATAATGTACCTATTCATTTAATACATAAGTGCGTTCAGATATTTGGACAGGTTTTCACATTATTCACTATTCAACGGTGTACAAGTAAGGTGAAATTAATGCAAATTAACTCAAAGAGCGCAAATCAAATTAGGGTTGAAGAGCAGCTAACGAGTTGCTTGCTGTCTTCATGATTTTTTATGTCGAAGAAGAAAAACAGAGTTCAAACACTTACCCCCCAATTACCAATGTGCACTCAACTGCAATGGTAACGTAAATATATACATATTATTTCTCCAAACACAGCATCTACTGATCACATATTACCATTTTCATTCCATTCTATATTTACTTCTAATTTCCAATTAACCAAACCAAAGTCGCTTATTAAATATCTCGTAAATATTAAAAACTGATTATGAGACATACCTCTTACTTCCATAAATAATACTTATTGACTAAACTCTAGCTTCATGTGTTTTAACTAAATTCTATAGATGGGTATTTCCTCTTCATACAATGGATCGACCGTCACATCCATTTCCTCCTCCTCTCTCACCACCCCTATTTGACTAAAACGCTCCAGCTCATCGGACGATGATGAAGATGAGATTTGTATGTAATCAATAATTGGCAAGCAATTCGTTTTAACGCTAGTAGTACCACTAGTAGTAGCGATTCTGCCGCTGCCACCACTGCTGGATACTTCACTTGTTGAGATGCGGAATTTCAAGCCACTTGCACTGCGTGGCGTCACTTTTAAGCTTTTAAGTTGTCCACCACGTTGTGTTCGTATCGCTACACCGCCCCTGCCACGCGACGGTCTTCCTACGCGCCGTCTTTGTTTATATTCATCTGATTCTGTAGAGGATTCAGATGTGTATAGATTGCGCTTGAGCGAATCTGTTAATGTATTTTCGCCACTAAAAGAACCATTGGACGTATCATCTGAGTCAATGTACACTGAAATGGTTGAATATTTAATACATTTTTGCACAGTTGAAAGTACAGCGTCGATTTCTATATACATACCTTTTCTTTCGGAGCGCCGTAGTCTCCCCACTCGATCTGTAACTGCAGGCAAATCCATACGCTCTAAGCGCACGCTTGGCTGCCGCAATTTCTGCACATCGGCGACTGTTAATCTGCGCACTCGTACACGTAATTTCTTTTGTTTGCAAAGTTTAAATAGTAGCTCTTGTTCTGTAGTCGCTTTTGGGGCGTGCTCGCCTTCATCTTCATTGCAACTTTCTTCAGTTTTAATAAGCACCAAATCAGGCAAATCGTTAGTTGGACCGTCTTCTCCTTTTACTGGGATTTTGTTTGTTTGTTTTTCTGTGCCGGAGAGTTGTTGATCTTCGTCCAGTTCCATTTGTTCGTCCTTACTTAAATCATTCACTTCGTCACTGTCTCGGCGTGCAGTTGTTGATACGTCGCTCTCGTCGTCATGCTGTTTGAATTATGAAAATAGGAAGCGTTAATATCTTACGTTTTGTACTATAGATAAATATAGCGGTGTACCATTTCAAGATCGGTGGTGGACTCTTTTCTAATTTTGTTTGCTTCTGAGGAGTCTGAATCTGTAATATTTTTTATAAAAAAATGAATACGTTTTAATTATAGATTATATAAAAAGGAAAAATCTTTGTTTCGAATTAAATATTGGTACAATATAAGAGAAATATGTTACGAGTGCTTCAACTTGTTTCTCTTTAGATACATTCTTCAGCGAACAGGCAGTCAAATATACTATTATCTAATTTATTTGGTATAACCAATATTTTTGTCAAAATAGTGGCCTTTATAGGTCCCAAAAATACAAAAATATTTGTATGAAAGCAATCTTTATGAAAGCAAGAAATAATACTTATTCAACTCTTATATTAGTGTCTTGAAACCAAAGAGTATGGCTGGCTTCCAAAACGTATCAATACAATGTTTGGAAACTGTTATACTGCGGTGTTCAAACTGTTTGTATATGCAAAGTTGCGACACATTGTAACCACATATGTACATTGCATATTTTAAATACTCAATATACCAATGAACAATTTTTATGAATTTTCCATTTTTAAAACACCAATGGTAACCAATAACAAACGAAGCATCAACTTTGTTTCTGATGCGCTAGCGATGTGTTTCGATAAATTTTCGGATGCGTTTTGGAAAAGTATACATCGTCAACATTTTGTAGTTCGGCGTTATTGAACGTTATACTTTGTACGTATGCAAAGCAATTGACGTTTCGGAAGTCAGCCTATCTTTCAACCTACATAGTATGAATACCACAGGACGGGAATTAGGATATGTTCAAAAATTGTGTGTTGTTGTTGTTGTTGTAGCAGCAGTGCTAACCCGTGGGCATGCGAGGAGATTTCTCGAGTCGTGAGGTGCCTCTCCGCAGCCCTCTCGTTTGGCACATCTGCATTTACTCTGCTCAGGTACGAGTTTAACCTGCTGCAGTAGCCAGAGCGAAGTTGGGCTATTGTGATCCGAGTCTCCCGAGGAAGACGAAGCTCGCGAAGCTGGCGACGTCGACAAGAGCCTAACATAGTGCTTCTGGAGTCAGGGTCGTCGGGTTGGCGGTGCATCTATGTTATGAGCAAGGTCTCTTTATAGCTTCTCCAAATGCCTCTCTCCTTTGCGAATTTGAGCCAGTTGCTCATCCTGAGTTCAGACAGGTCCTTATGCCACTCCAGCTGATTCCCCAAAAAATCTTTGGGAAATCATTGCGCTGTTACAACAAGCCGATGGCGACCGAAATATTAATAGTTTGTTTGGGAAACTTACTGACTCTCCCGCGGACCTTACTCAAGAATAATAGAATCTAAGATGCGCTCATCAGAGAGGATTTTTGAGAACAATTTTTGTGTGATTTCACACTGCTGCAGTTGCAAGAGAGTAATGTCAAAATTCGAGCAAGAATGCAAGAAGAAATTTCGCAAGAAAAATGTAAACAAATTGCACAAGAGAGCGGAATAACGTTACGAGATGGCGGCACCTTTGTTATCTACATCGTAGACCTTACTAGTTTATTCACAGCCAGGAATCTCAAGGTTTCAAGATTTTTCTGGCAGGGCATGAAAATCGACTTCACACCGCAAATCATCCTAAAATCCTGGAGGTTGCCTTTGACAGCTTCTTCTCCTCTCCACTGTTCGAAACCAGTGTAGTGGTGTCGGGAACTCTCATCCATTCCGAAAGACGTGCTCAGGTTGTTCAACAAGGCCAAGCGCAGGAATGCGGCTGGTCTAACACAATACAGCAAAGAGATTAGGAAGGCGAAGAGGGAAAGTTTCAGAACCTTCTGTGAAGCCATCTCGAATACCTTTATCCAAAAGAACTATAGAATCGGAGCTTGGGCTTAACCTGGCAGATGGCACCTACACTAAAAGTAGGGAGGGGAGGGCAACCGCCCCGCTGAACGCACACTTCCCGGATGCACCTAACCTGGTAACAGTGCTGGAGGTCCAGCAAACTAGGCCGCGATCATTTGACTGCAAACTGGCAAACTGAAGCATATTCACTCAGGCTTCAGTCAGATCGGCTCTGTGCTCGTTTGAGCGTTACCAGGCACCAGGGGTAGATGCCATCCGGCCGGGTACTACAAACAATATTATTCAAAGAGGTTTAATATTAACAAAGGAATGGTGTGACAAGTTAGGGCTTATCATGAATCCTTCCAAAACCGTTCCTTTTAATACGAAAAAGAGTGCTTCCCGGCTTGAGAGACATAACCCTGGAGGAGGTCAACGTCGCCAGCGAAGTTAAGTATCTGGGACTAATCCTATACACTAAACTTCTATGGAAGAAACATGTGGACCCGATCGTCTCCAAGGGCACGAAAGCTTTAATGGTGTGCAAGCGTTTGACGGGAAAATTCTGGGGATGTACCCCAAGGATCCTGAGATGGCTTTACATTATGATACTCAAGATATTCAAGAACTACTCTTGCCGCGGTGAGACAAACGCTCACCAAGCTACAATGACTGGCACGTGTATGCATAACAGGAGTGTATTTACCTTCGAGGAACTGCTTCAGCGTTGCACTCTGCACTGGTAAACAGGTGGCCCGAAGAGGCCAGAAAGAATAGATGCTGGAGTCGTCGAACCCAGGGCCAGGATCTCTGTTCCTCTGGGGAAATACTCGAGCATCTTTCAATCAGAAGTTTACGCCATTTACCTATCTGCGGATACAATCATGAATAGAGGGTATAGAAACGAAAGAATCATAATCCTAAGTGATAGCTAGGCGGCACTCAAGGTCCTCATGTCCTATGTGGTCAAATCGTCGGTAACCCCCAAGGGAGTGGAGAGTAAGGAGGCGGAAGTCATTAGGCCCTTCAGCCCTTCCTAGGAGTGGGTCCCAACACTCTAAAAGGGGAGATTAGGAGGGAGAGGAACAACTATAAAGGATTTAAACTGGCAGAGTTCGGCAGGAATGCGTCAGGCAAAAAGTTCTCTGGGAGGGTACAACAAGAGGAGGTTCTAAAGTTTAATTGACCTCCCAAAGGAGAAGCTTGGCGTAATAGCAGGTATCCTCACAGGACACTGCAGTCTGACAGGACATCTATACAGAGGACGTGTGTGAAGTTTAGGCTCAATGTGGACACAGCTTAGGCACATTCACTAGCTATCCCTAAATGTGCTGTTGAGGTTTCTCAGGGATTTAGTTCTAGAGGAGGTATTGTGTAGAGTGGAGGGCACAATAGACCACTAGGTCGCGGTGCAAACGTCATTTTATTATCTATCCATATATCTATAAGCCTAATTCTTGAGTACGATATCTCCTTCTAATGTGCCCAAGCGTCTTCTTATGTGGCGCGGAGGGCTGGCTCTGAGGATGGGATTGTAGTTGGAGCTTGTTTGTTCTGTGGTAGGTGTAGTAGGTTGCGCTCCGTTACAGAGAACATTCCAGCCTCTACGTATAAATATTGTTTCGCTGATATAAGGAGACAGAAAGTGGTTGTGCAGAGGTTGCGTACCGATGGGGGCGTATGCAGTTAGTTAGTTATTTTGATGGCGTACAGAGTCTGATGTCTTTCCCTCCAAATGCTGATAGAAATCGACTCAATGATAAGGTCGAGATCGAGCGTTTTACACAGTATTCGTGGGTAGTTTTCGGTCGGAATTTTTGCCTGTCGCTATGGTGGAGATAATTGGGACATGTTGAACAGTTAGCCGCCGCCTTGTGGTACTCAATATTTGGTTATTTTTGGTTTATATCATGGGTGTCCAACGTTCTTGTTTCGCGTGGCCACATTGGAAGAAAACCTGGTACTTCTAGCCACAAGTTTATTACCATAGCTCAAAATCTGGCAACACTTCCAGAAAACACAAACACTTGATATGCTTCAGTAACTTTAAATATTTTCAAGCAAGTTTCACACGCTTGGTTTAGATTTCCTGGCACATGATGACACCTATTTATCACTTAGAGCATTGCCGAGGATACGATATTCTCAATTAAGGTGACATAGTTCACTATTTGTGTAGTTTTTGGGGTCAAATTCGTAGTTTTTGCGTTGTGTACTGATACATATTTTATTGAGCGAAGGAAATTCAAGATAAGTTATTTAGCAAAACTTGTAAGTATGAACAGTTTTTAATGCAAATGGTAAATGCAGGTTGCAAATGTTTGATGTTATCTTTACCTCAGCTGTCGAGCCAGAAGATGCTGCTTTGCAACAAGAAAACTCAACTCTTGAGGGAATTTTGTTCACACGGAGCTTATTAAAAGGAAATGGTTGTTCTTGCACCAAGAAGCACCGATATACTTAAATGTTTCAAAAATGAAATGTAGCATTAAAAATTGTACTTCATTAAAGCTTAGTATACAGTCGAAAAGTTCATATAAACTCACACTCAAGAAATGAAAAAGAAATTTTCTTCTATAAAAATTTCTTAAATCAGTCTGAAGATCTTAAGAAAAAAACGCTCGTGTATTTAGTTCAAAGTTCAGCAAAGTACCTTTTCAAGCAACAAAAGTAATGAAACAAATTCTTGTGATTTTTTTTAGAAAGCTGTAAAACATAATATGTTACTAGAGAAAAACGTTGTGATAAAAACAAATGTTATACGACTTATCCAAAGTTTCACTAATCAATTTTAAATTTATTAGACTGTTAAAATTCAAAATTTTTAATTTTCCGAAAAAAATTGTGGCATTTTAAATTTTAACAAGCTCATAAATTTAAAATTGATTTGTACATTAATGATCTAAAAGTGAAGAGGAAAATGCGATTTTATTACAATTAAAAATATTTTTGTTAAAAGTTGTGGATTTTTTTTACGTATATCAATCAGAAAAAAAAACCAAAAGAGCTTCCTGGTTGTTTATTTTAATTTTTAATATGTTGACGATTTTTGAGAACGAAACAGCCGATTTCTCACTTCAGTGACCTGGCAACACTGATGACAACTACATATTGGGAATTTTACTGAGCATCTCTAAAAATAATGGGAATTACTCGTTCGCCGGCTACTTTTTTGCTCTTAGTAGATAATAGGTCCATTCCTTATCTTTTCTGACTAAAATCTAAAAATGCGCTCATTAAAAGAGTATGACAGGAAAAAGTAAAGGAAAACCAAATTTTTTGTTCAAAGGATGGCAACAACAAAACTAATGTCAAATAACAATAGAAACAAGCACAATAAACGCTTAGCATATCAATTCTTTTTTGCCTCCTTCAATTTTCAATTCACTTTTTTTGGTTTATAGATTATTCTCACTTTATTTAATTTGCGTTAATTTAAATTCAGCTGGGTTTGACACTTTTCAAGATTTTGCCAGTAAAAATTCTTGACTAAATCCGACTACTTCGGACTGAAGAGAGTCACAGTTGCTCTCTCATTTCTGCTGTCATTTTCAAATTAAGAAACGTTTTTTGGACTAAATCTGACTACTTCGGACTGTTTCTGGAAGATAAGGAACGCATCTAATGAAAGACACCCCCGCCAGTCGAACGGTGGCGCAAGAATGCTTGACGAATGCAATACTATAATGAAGCTCTTTTGATACAATTAGAAGTAATAGAATTCTGCTAGTGGCACTCACAGTACAAGGGTTCGCGGAGTTGATAAATGTATTTCGATGAATGTAGTTAATGACATGTCTACTATGTTGTTGTTGTTGTAGCAGCATACAAATTCCCCAAAGACTTTTTGGGGAGTGTTGCTGGAGTGACAGTCCTTGGCCAGATATAAATCTGGGTCGTTCCGGTTACGTAGCCCCGACTGTCGTGGGAACGATATGTCTACTATATACCACATTTGCTACTTTATTATTTGTATTAGGTTATGTTTGATACTGGGAGCATTTCGCGAGTGCGTTGCTATGATTTAAGCTTTGTATATTACGCACTACTAACCGGCTAACGAAACTTTGCATAATGTCATAGAGTAAGGGTCGAAACATAGGGGAGCGGCGAGCAAAGCAAAGAGCTAGCATCGAGCAAAGCTTCAATAGTAGTTTCATACTGAAGACAAAGTCTTTACAGGATCATGAGGAGTGTTTTGCGAGAAGAACAGAGTAATAAAAAAATCAATGTAAATAAACATACCCTTCGGCGTATCATCTGCTTCCACTTTTATTTCAGTCTGTTTGGCCATCTCGAGGCCTCGCTTTAGCCGTGTCTCCTCCAATATGGCATACTTCACTCTCTGCTCATTGACTAACTCAACGCTCTTCGTTTTCAACATTTCTAACTTGGATGACTTATTAAATAAGTTACCAGTCTCTAAATGAGGTACGTTTTTTTCAATTGTTTTCAATTCTTGTCCATTCATACTCCAAATATCCGGGAACGGATTAAAGCCACTAGTGCTATTGTCGAAAACTTTACGTTCATTTAGCGTTTCTTTGAAATCGCGCTTTGATTCGCTTTCGGCGGCAGTGGATGTTGCTGCAACATCATTTTCATCACAAGCTTCTTTCTTTACCTCTTCGGTTGGCTCGTTTGATTTCTTGGTGTCCTCCTCCTTTACCTCATTCGAAGCAAATTCATCTTGTTCCATGACATTTGCAATCATAGCGGCAGCTCGTGCACGTGTGCGACGTGTACTCATGAAGTATGAATCAAAAAGTTTCGAGTGATCGCTTTTCTTAGCTGCAATTTAAATATATACATACATATGTTATTAGAATAATTAAGTATTTATGAATTCACGTACGCTCATGCTTAGCCGGTTCATCCAAGTCTGAATCGGCTTCAAAATCTTCTGAATCNGAATTTAAATATATACATACATATGTTATAAAATAATTAAGTATTTATGAATTCACGTACGCTCGTGCTTAGCCGGTTCATCCAAGTCTGAATCGGCTTCAAAATCTTCTGAATCTTCGTCATCATTCTCATCACTACTGTCCTTACTGAAATTTGGCGCATTTGAATTCTCATAGCCCCGCTCAATGCTGCCGTAATCTAATTGTGGCCGATGTTTGTACTTTTCATAGTCAGGCTTTAAAAAACTTAGTCGATCATTCGCTTCAGCCATATTCAATTCAATAAAGTGCCGCTTTTGATCGGCATCTTTAAGTAAAGTTTTGCAACGCTTCCGCAACTCCACCCAATTAAGTGACCATGCAAACCCCTTATTGCGTGGTAAGAATATTACCGTGAGCAAATCTTTAATGGTATTCTCTGGCAATTTGAATGAACGCAAAGCCTTATATAATTGGCCATAATCAACATCGGGGGCTTCGTGATTAGCCATTTTAACAATTTCCTTCACTTCAATTGTTGAGCTAAGTAGCCCATACTTAGCATTGATGGCATTGACCCTTTCGCCTCTGTCACCTCTGTCGCGTCGATCTCTGCGACCTTCATATCGGTCTTCATCATCATAGTAATCGCCAGTTTCAAAGCGATGACTCAGTCGATTCGAACGCATTCCACTGCGTATTACAGTTTCGTAATACTTTTTGCAGGGATTCAGATAAAAACCGGTCAACCAAAATTCTTGTTCCATAAAAAGATGATCCTGGAAAATTATCGCCAGATCCTCGAAGTTTCGGGAAAGTTTTACTTCGAGGTTCAATAAGAATTCAGGTGTTAAGCCTGGATGATAGCGCCAAGTTTCGATGGCATTCAGTTGCAAGCCAATAATTTTAAGTAAAACTATAAGCTTGGCGAAGTACCAACCTTTGTGGGTCTGGAAATCATAAAATATACATATACATGTGTGTAGAAATGCAAACTTTATATATAAATTTACATATCGCATACCATCTTAACAGATGCACAACTCAAAAATCAGATCTGAATATATAAGTGCTTGTGGATAGTACAGATTCAACGCATTAATACAAAAATTTTTATGGCAGTAGTGTTCTACTTAGAGAATATAATCATGAAGAAAATATATTTGAATTAACTGGAATTGATTTATGTATGGAAAAAAAAATCGACAAACATTTTTTTTTTTGTTGTGCTTCTTTTGAAGGTGATATGCGATATATGAAAAAAACTTTTCTGATTTGAGAAAAGCTAAAAAAAAAATTGAGATCAATCACTTACCCGCTTTCCCAGCACTGTGTACACATAGTTTAGCACATCCGCATTATTTGGCAAATGTTGAAAGACTGGATCAACGCGTCGCTCGTTGTCGTCATCTGTTTTGGCACTTATTTTCTCATCGCCTTCCGTATGTTCTGTACTGCCAATGTTACTCAATCGATTTCCTTTGCACATTTTTGTATAGAAATTCGTAATATTTTCTTTTGTCCTCGACAAACTGTGACTACGTCGTTTCACTTCTTTTTTATTTATTTCGCGCATCATGAATTCCTCACTGCGTTCTCTTTCAATTATATACAAATGCATGATCCGTTTGAAATCCTCTATGTATTTATTGAAATCGTCTTCATTCAATTTATTCATTTCCATTAATAGATTGCCAAGTAGATAACTCATGTACGATTGGGATATAACACCGAAAAGACTGACAAAATTTTCATCGTATGAGTCGTATATGAAAGCGTCAAAGAACTCATTGCTACTTATTTGTAGGTTAATACAAGTAATGGCAATGTAACGGGCTGGCGTATACTCGATTTGCTCTTCTGAGCTTTTACTGACGTTTGTTGCATCAACCATATTTTGGTAGTAAAAACGTATGTTATTTAACTATAGGAAGTAAAAAAAAAAAAACAGTGACTTCTTTAACATACTGTTTTACATTAATGATACTTACCAGATTATCAATAACAAATCCGCGTATGTCATCCATTTCATATATGGCCATTAGGTAAATATGGCAAATAAGTATTAAGCACTTTTTGTGTTGGCTTTTGACTTCTGGATAAGAAAGAGTCGTTTGTAGTTTGCATTGTTCATACTCGTGATTCCATGCAGCAATAATTCGCATTGATAACCTACGTACGCCTTCAATAGTGCCGGCGTCAAAGAGCTTAATTAAACGTAGTAGAAGCAAAACTAAACCTTCTTTCTGCAGGTGCTCAATATCTAGGTATCCAAGAAGAATTAATTTTAGCAATATCTAAAAGATGAATATAAAATATGACAATCTACCTTGCGGAGTAGCTGGCGGCTCTACATGTTCACTCGATTGTGTTAAACTTCCTGCAAAATTTTCCCGGCATTCGAGAAATTCCTTTAGGTAAGGAATATTCCAAGGTTCCACACCCAATTGCAATGTGTAATCCCAGTTGAATATATCGTTACCCGGTAATTTGAGCAATAAATCCTTGGCACGCTTTAAGCAAACCAATAGCATTCCTCTAAACTTTGATATGCACTCTTCCCACTCTTTACTGAACCATATATCCAAAGAATATTGGGTTATTTGTTTCAGCACAGTGCAGAAGTATGGTGGCAGTCCTTCCTTACTGTTCAATTCATCCCAATGCACTTGACATACCTCCCAACCGTATAGCACCAGATCCAACCGTTCGCGTCCCATTAATTGGAAAACGTCCAAGTCGGAGTCTTTCATTGTATATAGCACTTTGAGCTGATGAAATAAAAAACCAAAACATACAGTTCTACATAGCAACGAAAAAAGCCGGAGGGCTGTCAACTTACCGCAACGAATTCATGAAATCCAACTTTTAGTGCACAATTACAAAAGTGTTCTCTGTCCTGCGTATTGTATGGCAAAATTATATCCATTTTCCGTTTGTTTGTGTTGAATTTAAGGGAAAATAACTGATTTTCTTCGCATTATTTACAATTTTCCAAAAATTTCGTAAACTATTATGCGACGCCGCATACAAACAATTGCAATCAGCTGTTTGCTCTGCTTAGTGTTGGAAAGTGTTAAAATACATAAGCCAGTTCGGTCACGTACGCCCAAAGTAGTTTTTTTTTTGGCGATGATTTGTTCGCGAGCGAACGTCATCATCGTGATGTTAATTTGCGGCGAACGAGAAATTATTCGCAAACGAATATTCACTAATAATCTAGTCAAAAGTTCAGAAAAATTACAGTGGAATAAAAAAATAGTCGTCTTATACACGAATCAATGTCTAGAAAACAATTTTTTCTCTTTCTGTGTTGTGTTTTCTACACATTTGATTTCACGCGCGCCAACTTTTACTGAACTCAAAATTTTGGATCTTCACTTCATTGCAACGAAAATGTCAAAAGCAAAGCAAGCAAAAGACTTGCCAAAGGTGGTAATAACAATAAAAAAATGTAAATGTATCTTGTTGTTACTTTTCCGGAGTGAGAAATGCTATTGATTTATAAAAAAGAGAACCATTTTGAAATATGAGTGTTTTTACTATTTAGAAAATAATTTATGCAACCTCACATACGCGGTTTTGCATTTTGTTGATACGCGGTTTTGTACTTTAAACGACGATTTGCTTTCTTCCGAAACTTTTGCAGTTCTATTAAGTTATTTTAAACTTAAAAATCATCAAAATAAATTGCACTTATTTCATAATTTGCAAACAGATGACTTTGGTCACCTGTTTTTCTTGTTGGGAAATTGCTGCTGGCAAAAATTTTTCCAGCGGGAATTAGTAACTTCCCCTCCAAGTCAACTGTCGCTTTGTGCTCCTAATTTACCCTACTTTGTAAGTTTTTTGCGTACGCGAACGCCAAAACCTGATAAATAATTTGTGTGCAATAATCATCAGCTTGCCGAACAGACTAAATTTAGTTGCGTTCGCGTACCTGTTAATTATTGAAAGTTATCAAAAACTATCAACTTTTTGTGTTCGCGTATCAAAAAACTTGCAAAGTAGGGGAAATCGAGAAAGCAAAATGACATTTCATTTTGAGGCGAAGCTGTTAGTTTCTGCTGGAAAAATGTTTGCCAACAGCAATTCGCCAACAGGAAAACAGCTGATCAAAAACAGCTGGTAGGAACTTATGCAAGTCACAAAATTCAATTTGAAGGTTAAGTAAAAAATACCTAGGTATTTAGAAGCTGTTAGATACTAAAATAAAAAATACTTACGGCCGCAATGTCTGGTTATCACTACTTCCCGGCTGAACATCATTATCGACCCTTTCGACATCATGCATATAACATGTGATCGATAAAGCAGTCATTGTATTTAACCGTAGCTTCTACCTCCGATTTGTGCTAATCAGACATTGAACAACCGGCCCTTAGGTATTTAGGAGCAGTTAGATATTAAAGTAAAAAAAATAAAAATTGGGTATTTAGGAGCTGATTAATACTAAACTATAAAAAATGAAAGTATTTGGTAGGCGCTAAATACTCCTTCCCAAAGTACTCAGGTACTTTCGAGATGCAAAATACTTTCCCCGAAGTACCAAGGTATTTAGTAGATGGCTAAATATTTTCAAATTAAATATTGTATAAGTTAGGAGAAATTTAAAAAATTACACTCCACCTTACACTCACCTCAACTTACTTTACCACAACTCACTTCACCTCACCTCAAATCAACTCACCACATACAGACACCACACCTCCCTAAAACTCATCACACCTCACCTAAACCACATTTTACCACATCACAATTTGGTAATTATTTCGGGATTTTATAGATTCTGCGGACTAAATCAGGATTTTCATGACTATTTCCGGACTCTCGAAACTAATTCATAATTATCGGGACTTTTAAGGATTCTCAGGAAAATTTTCCAGCCTACTTCGATATTTTCGGAATTCTCAAAACTAATATCGGGATTTTTGGGTCTTTAGGGTATATTTCGGGATTTTCGACAATACTTCGAAGTTTCCGGGACTCTGGTGACTAATATCGGGATTTTTGCGACTTTTGAGGATGTTTTGGATTTTCGAGACAACTTCCCGAGAATTCAGAAGTAGTCTCGAAAATTCCGACATAGTCTCTAAAGACCAAAAAATCCTGATGTTAGTCCCGAGAATATCGAAATAGTCTTGAAAATGCCGAAAAAGTCCCAAAATCCCAAAAAGTTCGATATTAGTCCAGAGAATCCCGAAAACTCCGAAGTCGTATTGAAATTACCGAAATAGTCCCTAAAGTCCCAAAAATTCCGATATGAGTCCCGAGAATCCGAAAAGTCCCATAAAAATCCCGGAATAGTCGCGAAAGTTCTAAAAATCCCGATACTAGTCCCGAGAATCCCGAATTAGTCTCGAAAATCCCGTAATATGCCCGAAAGTTTCAAAAATCCCGCCAAAAGTCCCGAGAATGCCGAATGTTCAAAGAGTCTCGATATTTTCTAGTACCGAGAATCCCGAGATAGTCTCGAAAGTCTCGAAAATCCCGAATTTTTTATTTTCACACTGAGTTAATGCAAGTATTTAGTATTTAATCAAGTCATAACGACTTAGTGGTTCGGTATTCAGTATTTAGTGAAGCCCTAAATACTAAGTAAATTTGTATCCAGTATTTAGTAAAGACAAAGATGCTTTCGTGCGCGGTTGTTAGTAAAGCCAAAGTCTCAAAGCACTTCTGTGCGCAGTGCTTCGTTAAGTGAAATTAACTAAATACTTTTTGACAAAAGAGTACTTAGCGATGGGAAATTAAGTAAATACTAACATACTTGGTATTAAGTAACATCCAAAATATTTAAGTAAATAGTACTTTGGTATTTACCACAACACAAAAACCTAAATACTTACTTAGTAAATACAATTTTGCCCATCACTGGAAGTTAAAAATGATAAAATGCGACTAATTAAACTTGTAAGAACTAAGTAGTTATTCGTTTAATCAATAAACTCTGTCAAGATAACACTTTGGGATGACTTTTCGTACGTTTTAAATTTTACACTCTTGAATGTATACAAAAATTCAACCAGCTGTTCGTCTAACTTGCAAGTTTCTGCAAATTTTCTGTTCGCGTACTATTCTGGATATTTTTCTCTTATGAGAGAACATGACATTTCGCCAGAATTTTCTCTTGGATGTTTTTTACTAGAGATTTTAAATGAACGTACCTTTTTACAACCTATCTGCCAAGGTGACGGAAAGGGACCATGAGTAGCGAATATTATGGTGGATAGAGCCCGACGTCGAGTGGCCAGAGGGCTGCACAAACTGCCAACACCTAGTGCGCATCTTGCTTTCACCAGCGGCGAGGTTTAAGTAGCCATGGTGAAGGCTAAAACGTTCCAAAGCCAGTGGTTCCGACGGAATATGCATGCTGGTGCTGAAAAAATTTAATCCAACGGGAGTAGACTACCTCACCAAGATCCTCAAAATGTTAATTATCACACTAAGAGTGGAAAATGGGGAGAGTGGTCCCACTGCTAAAACCCGAGAAACATACCAACAAAGGAGTCTGATCGGCCGATAACCCTCCTCTACCCGCCCTATGTGAACCACCTGACCTGGACCAGCATCAGCCCGGGTTCCGTAAAGTACACAGCAACAACATTAGTTAACGCCATAAACACTCAGATAACTCTTAGTCTAAACAGAAACCGAAAGTAAATGGTTACATCTCCGAACTTTTAACTTTTCACCACCTAGACGAAGGAGGTCAGACTACAACTGAGAATTCATTTCAGTGGCGTACAAATTTCGACAGTGAATAACCCAAAAATTCTCGGAGTTGCCTTCGACAGTCTGCGCACTTTATGGCGCTGACAGCCGTAATTGTGAATAAAGTATAGCGTCGCAACATAGTATTCAAGTCGTCAGCTGGCAGTATCTTGGCAAAGATAAAGAAATGTTGTTGAAAGCATACAACGCAACTGGCCGTCCAGTTCCCAGCCATGTGGCGTCCGTGTAGTCACCGGGATCTAGCAGGAAACAAGTTACAGACTTGCGAAAACATGGCACTCTAGACAGCTATGAGATGACTTCTGATGTCGCCAGAACACCACCTGTATGCTGAGGATCAAATGCTCCCCACCAGGAAGCACAACACCACGTTGTGCAAGTATTTAGATCTTAGTAAATAGGGTGCCACAGTCTTGGACACCTGAACAGACATCTGATTGCGATAGAGCGCTTGCCAAGGCACGTCACAAGGACTGACGGATAAGATCCACAAGAGTAGCCCTTTTGCCTTCAATGACCCTTCAAAAAAACCTTTAAATAACTAATAGCCTCACCTTGGGGAGGTTTATGAGTAAGCTCTTAGCATGGCGAAGACGCCCCATATTTCGCCAAGGCAATTTCCTCAGTTTTGTATATTCTTTTGTGAGCACTTCCTTTTTCGTGCTGGGATCCTATAGGAAGGAATTAGATCCTATCGTGGTCGAGGCAGCAGCCATTCCGGCTCACTGATCAGCTTTCTCAATTCTTTCGCCTTCCATATGCCCTGGTGCCCATATCAGTTGAGTCAGGGCTTGATTGTACCTCAATGCCACCCTTAGCTAGGTGGACCATTCAGGACTATTTCTGAACTATTTAACGACTATTTGAGGACCATTTTGGGACCAGCTCTGGACCATATTGAGGCTAGTTCAGGAGTATAAGTTATGGATCATTTTGAGTCTAATAAAGGACCATTTCGTGGCCTGTTCATGACCATTTCGGAGATATTTCATTACTAGTTCACGACTATTTCCGCACCATATCCGGCCTAGGTCTAGTCAATTCAGATTCTAGTTCTATGACTACTTGTGTTACCTTTTGGGGATAGTTCACGACCATTACGGGCTGGTTATCAGGACCGTTCGGAGCTGGTTAAGGACTATTTCAGAACATGTCGGGATCTAGTTCGAGAGCATTTTTGGAGTAGCAAGGAATTGTTTCCAGACTTATTCGAGATCATTTCTGGATAAGTTGGTAACTTTTAGAACCACTTCAGGTCACTTCCGAACAGTAGTAGTTCAAAACTAGTCACGAAATTATCGTGAAATGCTCT